CGATGAAGAGTTGGAGTATAGCACAGTTCTTCACAACCGATGGAAGGGGGGGGGAGGGGGTAACACGGTGTCCAATAACAATCTAACGACGTGCTTCATCGGAGCTGGGTACTATGAAGCAGGGTGGAAAATGATTGCCCCCCTTCGGGGCATCAGACTTTTAGGTTTGCTTGTTTTATTTTTTTTTGTGTGTTTTTTTTTTGTGTGTTTTTTAATCTCTTGTGACAAGCATCTGTCCAGCTATCAATCTTTTGTTTGTTTGCACCAATCCCAAGCCATTTTAAAAATACGACTAATTTTAAGTTAGAGAGAAGTCGTCTTCAGAGCGATCACCATCAACTGTCCATGCTACTGATTTCCTCTAGAAGAGAAGTGGGGGAAAGTTTTTGAAGGCAAAAGGAGAAAAAAAAAAAAAGCAATTAATTTTTAAACCAAAGAAGGAAAAAGAAAAAACAAACAAAAAACATTCGTCTTCAACCCCTTGCTATAATATAGGATGTTATCGGCTCATTCCCACATAGTGCACCAAAGTTTAGGAAGACTTCTGCACTATTGTTCGGCAAAGGTCACATCAGCAGACTTTGGAGCATATTCTAAACATTATATACCATCTGGTTCATTAGACTTGCAAGCTTTATGTACCAGGCCCCAACCAGAATCTCCCTTACTGCATTCATAAGAAGCATTCCTAATAAAGTGAATGCATATCCTCCCCATTCTAACATTTGGTAATTAGACTTGTAAGTAGGGATGTTCAGATACCAGTGCAGATACTTAGCATTTCCATGAGGACTACCAGGGTTGCAGCGGTTGCAGCTGGGACCCGGCTCTGGCGCTCCACCACTGTCCTGAAATCATTTGTCTGTATTGTTTTAGAAAAACTGTCACATGACAATAAACAAAAATGTATCAGTACTTGTATCTGTGAGGACTTGGACAAGTATCAGTACCTGTATCTGTGAGGACTTGGACAAGTATCAGTACCTGTATCTGTGAGGACTTGGACAAGTATCAGTACCTGTATCTGTGAGGACTTGGACAAGTATCAGTACCTGTATCTGTGAGGACTTGGACAAGTATCAGTACCTGTATCTGTGAGGACTTGGACAAGTATCAGTACCTGTATCTGTGAGGACTTGGACAAGTATCAGTACTTGTGTCTGTGAGGACTTGGACAAGTATCAGTACTTGTGTCTGTGAGGACTTGGACAAGTATCAGTACTTGTGTCTGTGAGGACTTGGACAAGTATCAGTACTTGTGTCTGTGAGGACTTGGACAAGTATCAGTACCTGTATCTGTGAGGACTTGGACAAGTATCAGTACCTGTATCTGTGAGGACTTGGACAAGTAACAGGACAGGGGAAAAAAATGGTATCGGTTCATCTCTCTCTCTCTCTCTCTATAAAAATCATACAATAAAACAGAGATGTAGAAATCCAAGAAGCTCCGTGTACTCCTTACAAATGACAGCTGCCTCTTAACTTTTGAATTTTCCTCTGGTCTTGGAGCTGGAAAAGTATCTGTACTTGTACCGAATACGGTACGTGGTATCTGAACATCCCTACTTGCAAGCTTCATATAGCAATCCGCAACCAGAATCTGGCTATCTGCATTAATAAGAAACATACCTAATAAAGTAAATGCACATTTAAAATGTATACGTTGCTGTTACATAGAACAACTCCAGGAAAACCCTTAACCCTTGCAGTCCAGAGGTAGCCCCACTGCAAGGGTTAAGAGATTTCTCCTGCTCGTTTATGTCTAGGTTAAATGGAAAAAAAAAAAAAGTTATGCTCTGAGCTGGCTTGTTCTTAGACCGGTCCCTAAGGCCCCTCTCTCCCTCAGCTGCAGCAGTGTAAGGTCCCATAAATCATTGCCTTCTATAAACTGTATAGCCGTGAGGACACTGAGGAAGGTTCCAATACTGCAGAAAAGGAGGAGACAGGCTGGAGGGAGCGCACTGTGACAGCTGCGCGGCTCGGAGCTTCAGGCGAGTAGAATTTTATTTTTGTCCCTAGACACAAATGAGCACTTAACCCTTGCAGTGCGGGGGCAGCACCACTTCAAGGGTTTAAAAAAAAGTTTTCCTGGAGTTCTTAAAAAAAAACCAAAACCCTCTGCCAGGCCATTTTAATGGGGCAGAGCTCCACTTGTGTTAAAAGCTGAACCCCCCTAAAGAGATCCCCATTGGTCAGAGGTACAGTCTATAATAGAAAGAGGCAAAAAGAAAATAAGTGGTGGGAAATATCAGGCAAACATCTACACTACAAGGAAATGTTAAAGCTTTGCCCAACCTGAATAGCTGGCCAAAACGGCTTAAAGTGCATCTAAACCCAAAAATAAAAATTCTATATATTGCAGTTTACCAATCCTTACATCGGCTGGCTGCATTAGTTTTTTTCAAGCTTTATTTCCCCCTGGTGATCTGGCCAGTAACACTTCCTGTCTCAGGGTGGCTGCACTCTATGGAGGAGGAACAGAGACACCCTTAGACAGCAGCATAGTCACCATGTGGGGAGTGTAGTGTTGGATGCACAAGCAGATTTAGATGGACCTGACTGACAAATTCATTTCAAACTTCAGGTAGCACTTTAGAGCAGTTACAGAAAGTTATTTTTCATTTTGGGATAAAGTTTTTACATAAAATGAATACAAGCCGACCATTGTAAGCACCCGTCAGTGTTTAATGGTTTGTCTAAACCTTCTAACTGCCACTTTTGCTGGACAGCTTGGGATATAAGAAATAAGACTGATTGGCTGGATCACCAGGTGAAGATAAAGAAACAAAAAGCATAAAAAACTAATGCAGCCACCACATCCAAGTATTGGTAAGAAGCAATTTACATTGTTGCTTTTAGGTTTAGATATGTTTTAAAAAGGTAGGAAGGGATGTCTGCACTTTACATTTGTCAGCATTTTTGTTGTATTTGCCAATATCACATGCTGAATAAAAGTAGGGTTTCTGTACTCACCGTGGAATCCTTTTCCTGGAGTGCATTGAGACAAACAGCTTGATGGCACTAAGCAATGTATGAGTTATACTGCCGCTTACAGGAGAAATGGACATTAGGTAAGCGCTGCGCAAACTGTTGGTGCTATATTATAATAATAATAATAATAATAATAATAATAATAATAATAATAGGTCTATAAAACCAGCCACTTAAAGGCTACGACCTCTCCCATCTCACCAGTTGTAGCAAGTAGTCCAAAGAGGAAGAGATGGGATATAACCGGAGAGAGCCGTGTTCCTCAATGGACTCAGAAAAGGATTTTATGGCGAGTACAAAACTTCGAGAGCGGAGGATACTTCAGCTGAACAATTTGTTTTCCTGATGCGGACCTGTAGATCAGTTGGTGTCAGAGAGCTGCTCCAGAGGGTAACCCATTGATACCAGGGTACACTACTCAACCAGCTCATGCCTGAGTGGCGCAGACAAGCGCTACTACACTCATAGTTGCCGGGGATCCATTACATGACTCGCATTCAAATCAGACATACTAAGAAGTAGTGTTAGTGTGTTAAACTGTGCTCTATGTAATTACAGGCATTCAGTGGCGTCCCGAGGCTGGGTGCGACACCCTGCACATGACGTTGCCGCATGTTGACGTCATCGCGCATGCGCACTGGTCTTGGGGATGGACGCCGGCAGAGAGAGAGGAGGGGACGTTCACCAGGCGGGATAAGGTATGCCGCCGCGTCCCCTCCTCTCTCCTGACACTGTCGGGCTCTCGGTCCATGACCAAGTGCCCGACATTTCATAGGGGTTGACACCAAAATGTTAGTCATTTTGGTGTCACCTCTCCAACGGTGGCACCCGGGTGCGGGCCGCACTCCCTTGTGACGCCACTGCAGGGATTCACCGGCGCACACACAAAACATTCAAATATCAATATTTCGTTGATATATTTTATTTGTGTAATGTCACAGGTTATCAAAGTCTAAACATTTTGGCGGGAATGATGTCATAATGACGTAATCCTTTCATGCACCTGGCCTGATGTACCCTGTCACTGTCGCTCTGATGAAGGGCCCCTGCAAGGTCCCGAAACGTTAGCCTTTGATGACATGTGACATTACACAAATAAATAGATCAACGAAATATTGATATTTGATCGATTTGTGTGTGCCGGTGGATCCCTGTAATTACTTTGAGCACAGTTTAACATTCTCTTTAATCCCTGTGGTTACTTCTAGTGTTTGCAAGGCGCCATCCCTGCAATCACCTTGAGCACCACCTATATATTTTTTTATGTTGTAAAACCGTATGGAGTGCAAGTGGCATTTGGAAACAATTAAACTGTGCTCGGCCACCTCAGCAGGTAACAGCCCCAAGCTCTTAATTACAAAAAAAAAAAAAAGAAGAAGTAGGGATTCATATGCAGAATCCTTACGAAATATTAAAGCAGAACGCTAGCAAGAAAGCCTGTCAGAAAAACCTTATAATGAAAGGAGAGAGTTTACCTTTCCCCTGTAATACTGCCCACCAGATATAGCAGCATCTGTAAGAAATGCCACAAAACTAGCCAATAGTCTGGCAGCCACTAAAAACAGTAATTCTGCAGAAACTGGGAGAGGGGAACTCTCCACAGGTCTGGTCCTGATCTCGCTGCACGGAATCCCCAGAAACACCGTCCCTACCTAAATAATGGCGTCCTTTGCTAACTGGAACACAGATATGGTGGCTCAAATTCTCAGTGGTAAACAGCTGAAATGTCACTGCCAACCGCAGTGGTGTCGCAGAGAGTACACCAGTATACAACCTGTGCCTGTTGGCTAGCTGGAGACACCTTCCAGGATTGAACATATCCAGCCTGAATCTACCAGTGCTCACTGGCTGACTGGAGAGACTTCCAGGATTGAACATATCCAGCCTGAATCTACCAGTGCTCACTGGCTGACTGGAGAGACTTCCAGGATTGAACATATCCAGCCTGAATCTACCAGTGCTCACTGGCTGACTGGAGAGACTTCCAGGATTGAACACATCCAGCCTGAATCTACCAGGGCTCACTGGCTGACTGGAGAGACTTCCAGGATTTAATATAGCTGGCCTGAATCTACCACCAGCTATAACAGAAATGCTTCCATTGTAGTGAAAAATCCAGCATAGAGGAAGGAAACATAACTAAAGGGGCACGCCTTCAGTTTTCATATGCCTAGCATCGATTTCTCCTATAGGTTGAAGTATAACCCTTCATTGCTCAATACCATCAAGCCGTGTCCCTTAATGGACGATAGAGAAAGCATGATATCCTAGAACACAATTTTCTCTTTTTATGGTATTGGGGACCACAAGCATACACGCATGTCCTCCATTGGGACTAGCAGACTCTTAGCTGCAAGTGATAAGTGGCCTGGTGGTTGCCTTAAAAGGTGTGCCAATTACCCCATAACTGACACCTATGTATGTGTACATACTTTAAGACTTACTGAGCTTTCAAGATGTTCACTGATCCTTTTGTGCTGCATCCATCCTTCACCCCAATACCTTGCTTAAACAAAACCAGTCACAAATGAGCATTGTTTTTAGCAATTGAAACCTCAACTCTTAAACTGGTCACAGTGATGTAGCTTTACCTCCCATGGATTGTGGTTTGCACTAGAATTTGCATTCTTTGCCTCTCAGGAGCAGAGGCTTTGGGATCCCAGTATGTGCCCAGCACAGAGAGCAACCCCAAAATGGTTCCCTTTTTTGTCATGGAACAAGCACATTTTACCATGTAAAGTCACAGCAGTTGTTCAATATGCCACATAGTTACCTTCAAAGTCCTGGTTGTCTATGTAAGGTGCTGGTCCCCATATTCTAACAGTACCATCGTCAGAAGCACTGGCCATTAGAGAGGGAATCTGCGGGTTCCAACTCACGCAGTTTACTGTGCGCGTATGTCCTGTCAGCTCTGCGATGGGCAGTTCACTGCGCTTGTGCCACACGTACACTTTATGATCTGTAAGTGGAGAAGCACAAATAAAAAAGAGCATATAGTAATTAACAGGATCAGATATTGGCAGGTAAGCGGACCGGATTAAATGTTAGCAGATAGTTAATAGGATCACATATTGGCAGCTTGCTTTTTGAACATATACACTCGAGTAGAAATAGACTCTCCATCCACTGAAATGCAAAGCAGCAGAGATCCGATCAGATTGAGCAATTTCTAATGTGTTTTAATACACTGCAAAAAAGGGTCACAGCAGGCAGACTGCCACTGATCTCTGTCTGCCGAGGACAAGGGGTATTCCCATTGAATTGCTTAAAGTCTAAAGCCTACACTGCACAGGAGATTTGGTACTGGTCAGCTGATTGAGATCAATCTCTTGTTAACAAAATACGTCATTTGCAGCATGTTGAAAACACAGCCAAACCCTGAGCTCCATTAGGCCTTGTTCACACCAAATGCAGAGCAGATCCGGTCAGGTTTCTGCACAAGCACGCTAGTCTTTTAGATGCGTTTTTTAAAGTTTAAAATGGGCATTCAGTGCGTGCCAGGCATTTGCATGCGTTATTGATGCGTTTGCAGATCCAGAGCAGGTAAAATAGGGCCTGCTGCAGTTTTTTCACCTGCTCTGGAACTGCACGCTGCAATGTGAACTGGAGCAAAAAATACCATTGGAATACATTGGACGCAGTTTTGATCCGGTCTGCAACTGATCTGCTCTGCGCTTGGTGTGAACAAGGCCTTACTGTGAGAAGGGGTAAATCCCACCAGGTAGGAGCAATGGCCTTCTTTTGCCTAGCATCTATCCTTCCAGGTAGCAGGGCTCACACCCCAGAAGTCTGGGGTGTCCAAATAAATATTCAAAGAAATGATGAAATCATACATGAATATTTCATAACTTACCACTTGAACGTACTAGCTTACAGCTACATTTATTTTGGAGCAGTTCTATAGTAGAAAAGCAGGGGAGATCAGAGCATACAGTGACACAATGGAGGGGCATTCCTCTCTCTTTCCTTGCAGAGAGATGTGACTGACTTGCTTAAGTCTTTACAAGCTGCCAACAACCATGAAAGCAGCACTGAGCATTTGTTGTACAAAAACATTTCCATGAAGAAACATTTTATACAGTTCTAAAAATGATCAATTTATAAAAACTCTTGACCAAAAACCAAGGTTCTCCTAATGGATGGCACATAACTGGATTTCTGAAGACCATGAGGCCAATTGAGGGGACACTTGTGAGAATTTAGCCGTTTGTGTTAACACTTAAAACAAGTATGTTAGCTGAAAGTCCTCGTAGATACTTTATAACATGCAGGTATGTGTATGGATAGGGAAACTGGCCATTTTCTATAGTAAGGGTAACATCATTTCACTACAAAGATGAGTAAAGAAAAAAAAATGCAAAGGTGGAAGGTTTGGTGATACAAGACTTGTTTATTACGGCCATCTGAACTATAACAACCAATGCTGGCAGTACAAGTAACGATTAAGTGACCCTGGGGCTAACTCTAAAAGTTTTAACCAAGGCCCCATTCACACAGCATAAAGTCGGGCTGTACAGATCCGTGCAGTGTGCACGGCCGCATGGGGCCGTTCCCGGGAAGGACAGGTGCAATTGTATGCAGCACCCTGTTCTTCCCCATGGGAGGACGCGGCCGTGCGCTCACCCAAGCTGCACATCTGTGTGGGTGCCTGTGCTCAGAGACAAAACAGGATCCAACCTGTTTTGTGTCCGAGCACAGGCACCCACACGAATGTGCAGCTCGGGTGAGCGCACGGCCGCGCCCTCCCATGGGGAAGAACAGGCTGCTGTGTACAATCACACGCAACATCTGTCCTTCCTGGGAACTGCCCCATACGGCCATGCACACTGCACGGCCTGACTGTACGCTGTGTGAATGGGGCCTAAAGCCAGAGAAAAGAGAACAAAAAAAAAAAAAGTTTACTTTTCCAGTGGGCAGTGTGGTAACTGTTAGCTCTGGGCACCACTGCTATCCAACACTTGCAAGCATGTGGTAAAGCGTGTCCCCCTGCCGGCCCCTATGTCACATTGGTCAAATAGGGGTAGGCTGGAGGAACCACAGCACCCAGCAGGGGATGCGGTACCACTCCTGGAGGCTTTGGAAAGCAGTAACGCCGCAGCTCTACAAGAAAAGAGATTTCACAAACTGCCTGCCAGAAAGGAGAGTAGTAACCGCCTTTTAAAGAGCAGCTTTAGTTTGCGCTTTTAGAGTTAGTGGCAGGAGCTTTAAAAAAAGTTTATAAATGTAATTGTTTCAATCTTTGGCTTGAACACAATTACAAAAAAATTTGATTATAGGTTGAACTTGACGGACTTGTCTATATTTTCCACCAGAACAGATCACACCATTTCATAGCTTATAGTTCACATTGATCATTTATGATGCAATAGATTTCTTGGAGATCCGATCTCCAAACCAACTCATCTACTGAACGATCGTATGAAGTCATTGTTACCTTCACTGCCACTGGCGATGAAGTCTTCATTGTGACCACCAAAACACGAGTGTATTGTGTAAAAGCCTTGCGTCACGCCTTGGTATTTTCGCACTAAAACTCTATCTTGCAAGTCCCATAAATGAACGCCCTGCAGGGAAGAAAGACAATGTTACCGCAAATAGGAAATTCACACTCAATGTACTGAGCAGCTATAGCCAGGTTTCTACTGTCAATGTGATTCCTGTCAATAATGCTTTCAGACCTATACTTGGTCTGGTCAGACTGATCGGTTATAGCCCATTATTTGTGTGTTCCAGCATGTTGCCAATTACTGCTCTGTGTGACCAAACAAGGCAGCCCATAGTCTGGCAAGATGTCTCACATAAAATAGATGGTAAGGTGGCACGATAGCTAGCCGCTGTTGCATCCACTACAGTCTTCAGAAGGATTCTTATTTTATTCAAGCCTCATGGTTAACATTTGATGAAGTCCATTGTTAAAGTGACCCTGTAAGGAAGCTAAAATTAGCCAAAAAGCTGTTTTTCATTGCCCACGCCAAACGATTTGTGGAAGAGAATCTTCCTCTGTAGTCTGCTGAGAAACAAAACTATTCTGGAAATGTTGATCTGGTCGCCTGCAAAGCTCAGTTGTTCTTCCACAGACAGAGGACTTAGAAGTGTCGGTCTCTCAGCAGAATTCAGAAGTTGATTTCCCTTCAATGATGCAATGTTCGGCAGCACGGGCACAGGGAGAGATACGCAATTACTCTTTTCCAGGGAGAGTCCTTTGGCCAATTTTAGCTTGCTTCCAGGCTCCGCACCAAGCTCACTCCTGTGATAGACTACAATCTCAATACAAATTAGCAAACTAAACGTGAGATTGTAGTCCATCACAGGAGTGAGCTTGGAGCGGTGGCTACTTTACAACACACACAGTGACCATGGAGAGCAAAAGTAGCCCCCCTCTAG